TTTGTTCTATTTGTCCTGACATGCTCGCTATACACGACTACGATATCTGTTGATACCAGTGTGAGAGAGATTTGGTTGACGCATCACTTATTTGCCGATTGGTTTTGAGAAACACGAGCGCTCAAAGAAAAAAATCCTACGCTCTGGTCAACGCCGGGAACGGAGAAATACAGTTCATCCAAAGATAATGGAAGAGGATGGTGACGAACGAGAGAAAACGGAAGAGGTGAACAATGTCTGCCTGCGTGGAGGTCAAGATGCATGTATACAAACCACACGGAGAAACACTTTGTCGAGCACCTAGGAGACTACAATCGATGCGAATAAGCCTGCCATGACACAGTGGCGAGCTGCATTACGGACAGGTTAGATGCACGTTTGTGGCGGACATTCCATAATAGACCACACTGTGCGAGATAGGTCCGGCCGAAAACTTGTACATGATAACAGTTTCATTCAGGGTGTTGGACAGTGATATCTCTCTCAAGTACAAGATGTCACCATGATGGATACCAGGATGCATGGACTAAAGAAAGCTGTAACTCGCGACAGATCAAGGTTGAGAAGACTGAAGCTGAGTAGTCAAAAAGAAGATTCCAATGAAGGTGTTATTTTTTTCAAGAATCTGGCGAAGGCCGAATTGCGTTGGGGAATGTTCGCGGACAGTAAGTGATGTAATGGTAGTGGTGAGCAAACGGTTCAACTGATTGCTGCTGTTCGAGTTTCGAACTCGACCAGAAAAAAACTTACCTGGCACCCAGACCAGGGTGATCACGGACGCCCTGGTCCCAGGTGGAGGCTTGCCCTTGCACTCTGACGGGTTGAAGCCTGCGACGATCGCTAATCGGGCTCGCTCGGGCGAGTAGCTTTTACCAATGGGGAGGTCTTCGGACCATCCCTTTCTTGGGCGGTGGTGGCCCGGTGGTAATGTCACTAATTATCACCCCGAAGGACGAGTGTTCGAATCCCACTACCACCGCCTGACTTTCCCCATTTGTGTATTATACAGCAGCCCTTTGATTGGCCGCTTTCCCCCTTCCTGAAAATTGTATCTTTGCATGTTCAATAAAAGGAAGTAAAATGAAAAAAAAGAAGTAGTTGCGCCGTGGCTCAGTTCAATAGTAACGCTTCTCACACCGAGGTCTTAAACCCCATCCCAGGAAATGCATTTCGAGTTTACGGAAGTAAGCGTATGAGTCGCGTGACCGCAGAGATATTGGTAAAAAAAATCGATAGCATGGTAAATAGTATACCCCAGAATCACGAACATAATGAATTGGGACGTTCGGGGCTCAAGCCTAGAGGATAGCGACATTAAAACATACCTGAATCGTTTGATATGCAGTCGAAGCACACGTGGGAGTCGTGTTAACCGTATCGTTTGAGTGGCCGAGGTTAATTGAGGAGTTTGTTCGGTCTCCGGATCAGGCAGTGTGAATGCGACTGGCACGGTACTAGTTGGGGCGGTGGGCGTCTGTGGTACAGTTGTGCTTGGGACTGCAGACACCGTGGCTGTTCGCGGAGTGGAACTGACACAATTCAATGATAATGAAGCAGCCAACGGTGGTTCCGAAGCTGAAGCGGCAGGCAGTTCGTCCAAATCGTCCACGCTCGATGATAAGCTCGGTGAAGAAGATCGGAGCGGGGAGAATGACGTGCTGGACGAGGAGGATGAGGTAGATGTGGAATTGGTCGAAACGGCCTCTGCTGCGGCAGCTGGATAATGACGCGCTTTCATCCCATAGTTGGAGAACGGTTGAGCCTCCGCGGGTGGTGAATTCAATCGAGACAGAGTGACCGAGACTAACTTTTCCACTATAGAAATGCGATGAACCAGAGATGAGAAGATAAGATAACTCTTGATTACGTTAGTAAGAATGTTCATAAACGATTTATCCGCCAAGAAGGTTTTTTTTTCTTAAATGAACATCACATCATCACAGTAGAACATTACCGTTACCGCTCCGACTGAGTCGTCTTGGGTGTACTGGATACCTTAATCGTGAAAGCCCCATTCGAAACACATGTGATTCGATTCAGGAGATGTCGCCCAACACCATGAGATGTGAGTCAGAAGACCAATTTAGAAAAAACTCGTGGTTGAGTTAATCCAGTCAACTTTCGACTCTCTTGCTAGGAAGAGCGAGAAGCATCACTGACGCTTGACGAAAATAACAAAAACAGGAAATTTTCTTCCATTGGACTCTGCCTGCCTGCACTGGCCACACACTATTATTATACATTATAAACCACCTCCCCTCTTTTCCAACCCCTTTCGCATTACAGACAGTCCGATAACTGGCAGTTGCGTTACCCCAGGTGGACTGATTCCCTCTCTATGTTATCTATGGAATTTTCAATCCATAAAAGGCTCACGATTGTCATTTACCGTTCGCAGAGTCAACAGGACATGCAGATATCAATAGGCATGCCATCCAACCAGCCCAATCGCAGATTAACTACCGTACATTACAACATGATTGGAGCTGTGTGAAATACGTCACACCACTCCTTCTATGCTCCATCTGCCAATCAAACACGGTGACCTTTTTTTAATGTCACTGTTTTTTACATAATCTGTACACACCAGCTTATGAATCGTCTAAAAGCATTGCGAGCCTCTGGATCTGTGTTTGCATTTTAGACCAGCTTGGTGATACATATACTCGACACCCCAATCACCGATATGTCTGTTGCGCACAAAACTCTAGCCAAGTTCCATGATCATCCTCCCCCCATTCGAGAGATCCTGATTGGTGGGCATCCATTCAGACGGATTACCGTGCTGCACAAAGCTTTGGGGTTGAGACAGAGCTGCTAGATTTCACGGTCACCAGTGCTGAGTAACGACGCGATACACTCCCACCCCCGAGTTATCACCAGTTGTCGGCTGAACAAAGTGACGGTGAACCGGACGAAACAGGCCGCCACGTAAAGCAGGCATCTGTAGCTGATTGACACGGGAATAGTGAGATCTGGCGCAGTGTGTGGGGAAACGTGCGGGCAAATCCTTTCATTTCATCCAAGCCTGGGATAGGAATCAAGTCAGTGAAACGACCTCTGAGGTCACTTAGCTACAACGAAAACCGAATGCTGGTCAGAGCACTTCGAAACTCATTGCATCCGATGTGAATGCCAGATTGTTTTTGTTTTTCTTTGTATGAACACACCCGGGAATTCCATCCAGACAAGTAAACAACCAAATGATAACAAAAATTGGAAAATGCGTCCGGTCAACATTGCATTTGTTCATATTTGCCTATTTCAGAGGTGTAAATTTATTTTTCTTTTCTGGATGTACTGATTTTCTTTTTTCTTACACTTCATCGATGATTTTGCATGAAAAGAAAAAGCGACTAATCAGATTGGGTATAATGAACAGCAACGAAAATGAGAAAATCAGGTGGTCCGTTTGGTGACCAGGGTGGGAATAGCAGGTGATTTGGAGCTAATTCGAACGAATTTAGTCCTCATCCATCTCTCGTTTTTTTCGTCGTAAAGACAAACAGTGCGCGCAGAAGTGTGGAACGGCACGGTGGGTGGGGGAAAGAGACCGGTGAAATTTTATTCCAACTAAACAGAACTGAGCACTCCTACATGATCAATAGAGCAGTTACCCAAATGAACTGTACACAAATATCGACCGGCCAACTAACACGGCCAACGAATTTTGGTCATTTCCAACGCCAACACACTACAGAGCGTGCACCGACCAACGATGTTGTTCTGAGACCGCAACAACCGTTGTGCACGCTGGCGTGTCACGTGTGTGTGTGTACGGGCATTGTTTCGACCGAGAGCCGTGATCTGCCCATCGGCCCTAGTTGCATACCTGTGAGATTACATGCTTGTGCTCTGCACATGTGCATCGACTACAGTCTGGTCTGCCAGACTTCACGAGTGCATGAGGACCTGGTGTCTAAGGACTGGCACAATCTGTCATTCGGTGTCATTCTTGCCCCACAGTCAATTCCCTTCAAAGGGTGGACAAACGTGAAATGTGGTGGCAGTTCGATGTCGGCGGGCGTACCACACGAATCGACCGTGGTTGATGGCACACATCCAGACACACAAATGCTTATTCAGTGCATGTGGAGGAACAAACAGCGGTGTCGTAAGATCACTTCTGAGTTCCAGCATGGTCTATAGAACTGTGATTTCAATAGTATGGAATGAGTGATCTATTCTACCACCGCACTTGCTCACCCACCCCCTGCACACATACAGAGTTGAGAAAAGCGGTTGGAGGTTTTGGTCGCGCGAGCGTGCGAGGTATTCGCATGTGATGATCAAAAGCGGATCTAATCAGTATTCGCTTTGTGCACCCCAAATTTCCAGCGCTCAACTGCCCACACACAAATAGGGGGAACATAATGAAAACACGAAAGCACTGGAAAATTCAGTTTAACCAGTAATTTGAAAGTCTGTGCCCTTGGCGCACGTTCGGAAGATACTTGTGTACGATATGATTCCGAACGTAATGCAAAGAGTATGGAGGAATGTTAGAGATTTTGTGAACGAGTTTTTATCAAGCCTCTGTATGTGATACGACCAGTTTAGCGACTAATCCGTCCGGTGCATTGCGGACCGGGTGGGGGGCTGGCTAGTGATAGACAGGTGAAGTTTAATATTGTGAACAATTTCGCCCGAGGACTGCAAAAAACAGGAGAGCGACAGCGGTGTAAAGATGAAACTAAACACAGAAGAGAATACTGTTATCCGTGAAACTGCTCCTGCTAGTCGGATGCAGAGAGGTCGCTACCAGTTCGTTTATCAACAGATTGTCTCGATAAAGCACCCATACTGCAGTTCAGTGATGAAAACCGGTAGCCTACGCCTCGGGACTTGGAGTGGCGAACCACATAAGGCCCCGATAGGTTAGGTATGGTATTGGACCGGACGATAGCAAAGCTGCCTACCACCAAAGTTGGGTGGCGGGGCTCGAACGTTTGATCATAGGGTACAGAGCATTCCTGTGACAGCGACTAAACCATTGCGCCACCACCACCTACCCACTACCGTTGTACAAGATAACACGTTATACTTACACAAGTCTCAACGTCTAACTGGAGGTTTAGATTAGGTCGATTGAAATGTTCACTGCGGCGATAGAGTGCACTCTTACAAATGGTATTCTATGTATACGCCCCCGAAAATCTCATTATGGTCGGGGGTGGGGTGTCTCGGGTTGCGATTGATCACTCTTCCCTTGCATCCCGTGAAATGCCCCCATACGACCAAGCGTCTCGAATAGCCTATGCTGATGAAGCCATACTCACTGCATCCCGCGTTGCGAAAATGTTTTCCCACCAAACTGATAGGACGAAAAGCCAAAATGCGGGGTGATTACCGGACTGATGAACCAGTGGTAGTTCACCTAGACGATATGGTCAGAAACCCTGATTCCAAACCAACCAAGTGGAGGCGTACAAATCACATACACATATCTTTCCAGTTGTGCTAATAACCATCGGCTCCATTGGACATCGAGGTGTATTTGGCACCTTGGACGTTTGACCCCGTCCAAAGGGGGCGTATGATCCGATGAATTGGACACCGGCCCCCAATAGATTGCGGTTTTCGCACACCGCCTCGCTGCCTTGCCGGCCGGGCTTTAGCTAACCGAAGGCTCCGATTGTGAAATCTTTAAGAAAATTCACCTGCCCTGGTCTGGGCAATCTGGCAGTATTCCGCCGCCATGTAAATCATGGAACGTTTTCACTTTTTTATAAATATTATTGTACCATGATTTGTTTGGAACATGGTCTGACCTCAGACATGTGATATATATATATATATATATATATATATATATATATATGTCTGAACAGTCCCACAGAGCTCATAAAGAGAACACAAATTGGCAAACAAGCTCGTTTTCACTT